GATACTGGTTTCAGCTGAAACTGAAGAGTTGATAGGGACTGGGATGACTAACCTTAGCAATTGTGTAAGTGACCAGAGCTTCAGTAAAGTCAGAGGGTCTCCTTTCCTTTATTCTTGGAATAAACATTATCCTGACTCAGTACTTGGAAGACTACTTCATGGAATTCTTCGTTCACCAATTCACTACCAAATTCTGTTACATTTTATAACAAAAAAGGGGCAGGAATGAAAATAAGGACTTATTTCAGAATAAGTGAGCAGAAACACGGGTTCAAATTCACAATGCACATTAGAAATTCTTCACACAGACATGTTTGCTCAAAACTTGTTCTAAACTGATTCTGAGCAGCCAGGCAGAGCAAGAACGTTTATCAACACTGGGTAGCCTTACCTTTATTGTTTGGTTGGATGTTTGTAACCTGCTCTGGAACTCTCCTGTACAGCGTGGTGTACAACTCCTGGGAGGTGAATAAACTCATACTTAGTGTGTGGCAACAGTGACCCACCCAGTCAAATAGTTATTCATTGGTAATTTACTCTACTACACGCTGGCTCTATGCCCACCACATTCCCACTGCAGGCAAACTCTAATGATTGTATAGTTGTGTAGATGTCAGCATTTTTATATCACATCACAGGAAAGCTATCAATATAATTTGATCTTTATGAGAGAGAGAGAACATAAAAGCTAAAGTGCTGCTCACATAATCTGTTCCTGTTTCACCGAACTGTGGCATTTTTCTTATCCAGTTTGATCTATCTTCCAAGGTCCATGTGGTGTTACTATACCAGTGGGATTGTCTTCCAATAAGTTTTATGCAAACCAAAGAGTTTATGGCCTGAGTTCATTTACCTTCTTTACAGGATTGTGCACATCTCTCTAGAACACTGGGAGCCTTGTGCAAGACAGAGGCTTTCCATGCTCAGCTAACCCAAGGGCAGTCTCACCGGCCCCCCAGTCTCCAAAAGCACAGTTGGGGCTGGACACTGGTTATCTTTCAGTATGCACAGAGCCACATGGAGACAGCAAGGGCCTGTCTCAGCCCGTTGTGCTGAGCAGCTGTAAAGATTCTCACAGCCCATCAGTGGAGCAAGTATGAAACTCTCTGGGTGACTGAAAGTAAATGGTCGCTCAGAGCTCTCATTGTTTGCTTCTTGTTTATTATAAGAATGTTTAAATTACGTGCCATCCTGTGGACACTGGGCTAATGCCTGGACTTAGGATTTCTTACTGCTTGCATCATCCATTCCCTATACCATAAGCTCTGGTAGGTCACTTTTTCTCAGTGTTTCAGCTTTCTCACATATGAAGTAGGCTTGATGATACTTTCCTCTAAATGGTATTTTTGAATCTCTGTATGACTGAAGGTACTAGGGGTTTTGCTTCTAGTAATGGTATAGAGTTTACACTGTTGTAGCTTAACTGGTATCTCCTTAGCTTTACCATAGCAGTAGGAACTGAGGCTTCTGTGTATGTGCAACCACTTAATCGTTTTCCATACTAATGCTGTTTTTCTTTATATAGCTAGGGCCTAAGCATCTGGGTCTAGCTGATAAAAAAATTTTCCCTTTCAGTTGTCTGCTCCTGCACAATTGGCCATTGAGTTGTGGTGCCCCATCCCTGGGAGTGTCCAAGGCCAGGCTGGATGAAGCTTGGAGCAACCTGGTCTAGTGGAAGGTGTCCCTGCCTATGGCAGGGGGGTTGGAACTAGATGGTCTTTAAGGTCCCTTCCCACCCAAACCATTCTGTAATTCTATGATTCAGCAATCTTGGGATTAAGCTGAAGGAGTTTTAATTAAAAAACTAATACGGTGGGAGACAGTGAGAATCATCTTACACTTTTAAATCAAAGTGTAAAGGAAACAAGTTTCTCTGTTCCTTCCCTGAATCTTACATATTTATAATTGACACAGAAAGCCCCAGTTTTGAACTTTTCTCCCATGCCCCTGTGTTTCGAATGCTAGTCACAGGACACGGAGAATGTTCACAGAGGGAAGGTATATGGCTCTGTTCTAGTTCAAGTATGGAGACATCCTTTTCATTGCATGCAGCCAGCAGATGGTCTCGCTTTTGTGACATCATGAACTCCAGCACATTAGTCAGCCACTGCACAGCATGGTACAGTTTAAAGCTGAGTAAATATGGGGAGAGTGAAAAGTTAGGGGTGGGAAGGCAGTAATTCCTAGGACATATGTTCCAGTTTTATTTTACAAATTGACCGTGATTTTGTTATGTTTTGTTCTTGTTCGCTTTCTGCATCTGTTCTGGAAAACTGCTTTCCTGCCAGAAACATACACCCAAACCAAATAGTTTTAAAAGGATTGTTGTCAGCTTCATAAACCACATCTCCATTTGAAAGTTTATGTTTTCTTTCGTAAGAAGATGTAACATTTTGAAATTACTTTCCTTTAGCCTTCAGAAGGGAAAGTACCTAAAGAAAAAAAACCAACCTGGAAATAATATAAATTCCCAACTAATAAACTTGAGGTGAGGTCTTTTCCAGCCCACAGCTATAATCTCTCACGAAACTGACTTGGAATTTTCTGAAGCTTTTTCTGGTCAGAAAATTCTTTTCCATTAGAAGTTCCTTTCTCACCTGATTGAGACTTTTCACCCATCATTCAGTGTATTATTCTGGAATCCCTCTCATTTTTTTCCCCTGTAAGGAAAAGTTCTGAAACTGCAAAGATTTTCCTAAGACAGGAAATGTTTTCCTGTTCAAACCTCATATGCTCTGCATATTTCTGTAATTAGTTTAAAGGCTGTAGAACATACGGAGCCTTGCGTAAAAGAAAGTGGTTTAGTAAGTAAAATAAAAAGTTAATACACATTAGAGAGAGTTTTTTCCTTGAGTTGCAATGTGCCCTGACAAGAAACACGCCATTAAACAGATATGTATATATATCAAATATATTGAAGTTTAACAAAACCTTAACACCCACCTCTCCCTGACAGATAAATTTAAGGAGTTATTGTGCACATTGCTATGCTGTGACAAAACAGTTGCGTACAGGCTACTCTTGAATTTCATGCTGGTATGACATAATCTACACCCAGTCCCGAATCTGTGAGGCTGCATCAAGACAGCCAGTATGTGAGCATGGGAGGGAGGACCTGTGGGAGGCAGGATTCACAGGGAGGCACTGTTCTGTCTCAACTCAGTGGAACAGCTCAAGTGCTACACTGCCCTCTCCAGTGTGCCGGATTCAGAACACAGGCAGAGGAGTGTACAACTGACTGTGTGAGTTCAAGGACAACGTTGTTGGTAATAAAACTGTTAGGTGTAGCAATGCTTCTAGTTTGTATAGTTTTACAGTAATCATATACCATGATTTATGTTATTTTACATTTTACTGAAGTTTGATCTCATTACTGAAGTTTGTCTCAGTCTCTGTCAGAGTATGGATCAGTCTATTAATTAGAAATACAGAAATGAATACAGAAATGAATGTATTAGAATACATTCCTTGGGGCCTACAAGGAAGCTGGGGGGGACTTTTTGCAAGGGCCTGTAGTGACAGGACAAGGGGGAACGGGTACAAATTGAAAGTGGGGAGGTTTAGATTAGATATCAGGAAGAAGTTCTTCCCGGAGAGGGTGGGGAGGCACTGGCACAGGTTGCCCAGAGCAGCTGTGGATGCCCCATCCCTGGAAGTGTCCAAGGCCAGGCTGGATGAGGCTTGGAGCAACCTGGTCTATGCAAGGTGTCCCTGCTCATGGCAGGGGGTTGGAACTGGATGGTCTTTAAGGTCCCTTCCAACCCAAACCATTCTATGACTGTGATTCTATGAATACATTCATTTGAAAGTGTACCAAGGTGAGCAGTGGTGGAGTTTAGTGGACCTTTGTTTTTCATGTTTTTAATCACCCAGCCTACATTCCTGTTCTTCTGATGCATTTCTTGACTCTAAATAGACAAGTTCTTGCATTAGCACGTGGGATTAAATTAATTGCATTTAAGAAATGGAACCCACATTGCATATAGCAAAACTTGAATGCTGTTATATATTTCTCCAGACTTATGTAAAACCAGGGAAAAGTAGATTTTCAGTTCCTTCCAGATGTATTACTTTAATTAAATAAAATTAAATTCCAATTTGTGATGCTATTTCCACATAAATCCTAGGAATGCTTTTCTTCAGATTAAGAATTGTTGACCTGTATCCTCAGCCAGTGGAGCTATGCCAACACACAGCAGCTGGGAATTTCCTACCCTGCTGTCTGTGTGTGGCAATGGATTCATTAGGCATAGGACACCTCCTGTACTTTTTACAAAAGTCTTCCTGTCTTTTAACATATGGTTATCTTACTTAAATCAGATACTTATTTTGGAAAATCAGAGCTGGTTTTTGTACAGTGTATAAACATTTGCTAAGTAATCTAAAGCCCTATTTGTCTCCTGATATTAAACAAGCTATGGGAACATGATGCCATAGATTAATCTAATGTACTTTACATCCAAGTAGTGTAAAGTATTTCATAATTCTTTTCTCTCTGTAGACATAAGGTAAGACATGTGCAGGCGCAGTAATTTACCCAGAATCTTGTTATTGCCCATATCTGCCAGAATTAGTTAAGAATCTGTGCAGCTTGTTTCTTATTTTCATATTTTAACTAACCTAGGGTATGCTTCCAAAGAGAGCAGGACACAATCTCTTTGAAGCCATTTTCTTCCAGTTTTATTGTAACATATTTTACCATTATTCCACCCTGACTGCAAAGTGAGTAGAATCTTCAAAGTAAAAATGTATTACCTTGTTTAAATATGCACTAAACCCAAACCTGAGCTTTTGTCCTTGATTTATGCTGATCTCCAGATTATTGCAAGCATGTATAGTTGAATTATAACCTTGATTTTCACACAGGTCAATGGCATCCATGCTAGTGACTCACATGGATCATAAAAGTATAGTTCCAAGGGGTGTGGGTACAGGTGGGCTGAACAGCTTGGGCTGGTTTATAAAAGCGAGGGCCTCAAGCCATCTGGACTTATCCATTCTTCTTTGTTCCAGCTGCTGTTCTGCTCTACCAGCCACATCACCAGGGCAACATGGCATTCACAGGCAAATACGAATTTGAAGGCGATGAGAACTATGATGACTTTGTGAAGAAAATTGGTAAGTATGTCTTGGGGCATAAGTCTTAAAGGTTATGAGTTAGTTAAATATACTTTTTAAAAAAGAAGGGGTTTTTTACTGAAATATGCTGAGATCAACATGGGCTAAGACTGGTAAGAGTGCTCTGCACTTCAGCAAAGGAGATTCAGTTTTCATTCCTGTAACAAGCACTGTCAGCAGCAGGAAATAGTCTTGTTGGACAGCAGTAGTATTCCTTTTGAGTGGCAGCAGAATGAAGGACCAAGATGTTTGCAGTATAATGATCATGAAGGTCACTTTGTCTTTACTATTCATCAATGGGAATATCAATTTAGTATGAAAATGCATGTCAAAATCTTGCTCAGGAAAAGATTTCTGTGAATGCTTGCAGAAGACTCTGCAAACCTGTTTCGGAGATGACTCTGTAAAATCTCTTAGGGACACTGTGATCTGTGTGTATAAGTTCGGTCCTTGTATTCACCTATTTACAAAGCAATAGCAAATCGTAATTAAGTATGTGCAACTATATAGCAAAGGCATGAGCTCATACACATTAAATACCATGCATCTGCGTGTGTAGATTAAGTAGAAGGGAATAGTTATATATACTTTGTGTCCCTACAGTTATTCTGTGTATCATTTATCAGGGAAAAGAATACAGGACCAAAACTTAACGTTTTAGTAAATGCAATGATGTGCCTCTATCTTCCATTATAGCGGTAATTTAAACACAGAGCTTTGATGTTGCTGTAAAAAAACCCAACACCAAAACAAATCAAATCAGACGCTCAGACATCAGTGTCTGAGAACAAACATATTAGCACACTTCAGTTCAGATACAGCTGGTAGGCTATTAGATTTGATAAACTCTTTGTTTCTATTGATTAAGGTCTCCCCAGTGACAAGATTGAAATGGGAAGAAATTGTAAAATAGTCACAGAGGTGGTGCAGAATGGAAATGACTTCACCTGGACGCAGCATTTCCCAGGAGGCCGCACCACAACCAACACATTTACAATTGGCAAGGAGGCAGATATGGAGACAATGGGTGGTAAGAAGTTCAAGGTAAATTAATTTAGCTCTTAAGTTCTATGCTGTCTCAATTGTTTTTTAATTGAAGGGGAAAATCAAATCTGCCTCAGGGTCATCTTCCTTAAATTGTTTTTTCATCTCTCATAGCTTAGAAACATATAATTTTTTCCCTATTTCTTGATGCCTCTAGCAAAATAGCTAAATCTGATTTTAAAGAGAGGTAGAGCTTCAGAGCTGTACATGCTAATAGAGAACGAGGGTGGAGTGTCAAGCATCTACTGGTACTGCAGCTCACGCAGACATAATGCTCATTAAAACCCTAAGGAGCTGGTTGGCAGCTGGGTCGCTGTCCATGTCCAGCACCATAGAGCAACTGCAGCACACTCCGAGAGGAGTGCTATGGTCCCCAGCTCTGCCCATGCCTGTTGGCAGGGCTCAGCTTTTGAAGTCACCTGTGCCTGAGCCTTAAACAAAAGGCTGGGTAAAGCGAAGGAGAAAAAATGAATCTCTGTATCCTCCTTCCTGTTGGAAGTACAGAGCAACTTGCTGCTTAAGCAGCCTTAGCAGAATAGAATATTACACAGTATTGATCTGCTGCTGTCATAGACAAAATCTGGATCCAAAATCTGTTGCAAAATGGTTGCTTTACTTACCTTATACATTTCTCACCTATTTAAAGGGATAACACCATTTGGGACAGCTAAAATCTACATTTGCGAGGTGTCCAGAACCCTACAATAGATTACCGGGTAAATGCTGTATACGTATGGAAGAGAGGAAAACCAGCAATTGTATCAGGGAGCTGTGGCAAACTGAGAACAGCAATAGTACTGCATGATTCTCAGAATGCATTTTAGTCATACCTTTCTGGTTATGAGAGTCAAAAAACCTTCTCTCTGGCTTTGAGAAATCTTTGTGAAACTTAACAGATAGAATAAGACACAATTCTACTTGGTGATTTACTGCAAACCTAACACTTCTGAAATGCTACAAATTCCATTCTTTTCTTTTTGGCCCTAAGCACTTCAGCAGTGCAAAACCTATTAAGTAGCCAAAGATGGAAGCAGAGTAAGATAGTTTCCTTGTATCTGGTAAGAAATGTCCACTCATCTCTTCCTTTCACAAATTACTTTTTTCTCCTCTAAACCGGAGTGGCTCATCTGTTTTTATTTCTAAAAGTATAGGCAAGACTGACCAGTTATACCGACAAGACTGATATTGTGATGGATCTACATATGTAGTTTTGGTGGCCAGCTGAGCTGCTGTAGTGTTTGTGATCTTGACAGTAACATCCTGGCATACTTCTCGCGTACGGAAGCAGCTCTTACAGCCAGTGGCACATGTTACCATGTAAAGGTGTGACTGCAGACTGCGCAGTCACGTTCACCTGTACTTGAACAAGCAAGATGAATTCTGCTGTAGTTAGAGACATGAAACTCAGGTTCTAGAGAAAAGATTCACATCACTTGTCCACAGTGACTTTGTGCTGCTTGCAGGCAGGTGATTAGTATCTGAGAATGCTACTTTATAATTAACCTCATACAGTCATGCCTTTTCCTTCACTGTCAAAGCAAGAGAACCACATAAAGCTTTGAGGACTGAATGAGAAGCATAGTCTCCAGTCAGATCATTTTGAGCTCTGAGTGGATATTATACAGATAGGGAGCTTGCCTGTATTGTTCACAGTTTAAAGAACTAAAGCCCAAGGATTTTAGTCCTGCTTATGAAGGTGCATGTGTAATACATAACTTGCTAGTTTTTTAAAAGTAAAAACTTTAAGCATCAGGTGTATGGCTGTTTACAGTGTGTCTGATAACAGAAATGTCAGTAAGCCCAGTGAACATTAAACCTCTCTCTATTACAGGCAACTGTTAAAATGGAAGATGGGAAAATAATAGCTGACTTCCCCAACTATCGTCATACTTCGGAGATTTGCGGAGGAAAGCTAGTAGAGGTGAGTTCTCAGATATCCAGGTTAGTTTATAGAAAACAAACTACCTTCAAAAGCAGCAAACTTAAAATCTTGAGTCTCAAAAAATATTTTTAGATAAAGTCAAGCAAAACTATGGCCTTTCTTCACTCTTGATAATCTTCTACAATTTTGTGCGGGTTTAATCCAAAAAATAAATGAGCTTAATTTTTTTTTTTATAAACTTGAAATTTAGATCTTGCATCTTAGGCACAGACACAGTTTTATAGCTGCAAGACTGGAATATTCCCAATTGCCATGTGTTTGACTGTATTCACTGTGCCTATGCCTCAAGAATAGAAAGTAATAGATATAAAACTTTTCACCTACTACTTACTGTTTCTACAAATTATTCACTTTGTTTCATTCTTAGAACACTGTCCAGCTGTAACTCCTCAGGGAATTTCTGTACAGCCCTGTTTCCTCAGCCTTACCAAAGGGGCACGGGGTGGGGCTGGGAGGGGACCAAAACACAAAGGAGGTTGGATTTCAAGCAGTACCCTGTTTTTATCAACAAAATAGCAACATAGCTTTGGAAGATTACTGTAGCTACAGTACCTACAGTAAAACTTGCAAAACATCATGATTTCTGACTCTAGAAATTTTTCCTGACTTGACTTACGCCTGTGCCAGTTAGGTATGTCTGAGTACGTCTTCCACACAGACTCTGTGAACCAAGAAAGGACACTCACCCTCCCTGAAAGTAATAGTGTCAGCTTTCTCACCTGTCTAAAGCCTGGTAACTTAGAGTTGGTGGAGCCACGTCTAACTCAGGATACATTGAAGTTATCCCTAAACCCCGGTTTAGAAGTTGCTTTTAGTGTAAGAATATTTTCACACTGCGTATTTCAGACCTGACAAGGACACTCAGCTTATTTTCTAGGTACATCTTCTGCCAAAGGGTAAATGTTGCTTCAGTAAAGGACAGGCTCTGTGAGGCAGGCAGCAGGTCTTTCATTTGTGACACTGAAGCTCCAATTGCGCTGTTCAACTGAATGTTTGGTTGTTCTTTATTCCAGGTTTCTACCGCTTCTGGTGCAGTCTACAAAAGGACCAGCAAAAAGATTGCTTAAGGCACTAAAGCCAGTGTCTCCCAGTGCACCAAAACCCACAGTACAAATAAATGGTGATTTTCTTTCCTTCTGTCTTTGTATTACAAACATGAAGAATTGTTTTTCAGAGTAAAGTTATCCTCAACATTAATGCTTACCCCATGCCTAAAGCTCTGACGAACACTCAGAACAAAGCGTTTAATGATGCTGTCCGTTCAAAATATTTTGGATATGACACATACTTGGCATATTCAAATGTTGTCTACCACCTACTTCTTAGAAGCTCTGTTCAGCTTCTGTTTAGAGAACAGGACAATACTCTGCCCAAAGCATACATCAGAATGCAGGACCTGATGAAAGTCTTTTGCCTGTTGCTGGTTGGAGGGCAGAAATTTAGAAACTTGAAGAGTGTCAGTTACACAGATACACTTTCATGCTGCTGTCATGGTTTCTGATTCTCATCAGTACCTCCACTCCACCCAGATTCTTAGGAGACATCTAAGGTTTTGCAGGCATATTCCTGCAGGAAAATGTGGAGTCTTTTTTTCTCAGTGAAATCCTGTTACTTGAAAAATAAAGTGTGAAAACCTGTTTTCTTGAACTCAGTAGGAATTAAATAACAGTTTTTGGGGTTCACTGTTCCAAATAATTTCTGGACAACACCTGGTCCACAAAGCTTTTTCATTTTCAGACTCCTTTTTCTAGCTGTCCTGCCTTCTGGATCCACCTAGCTCCTTGCCCTCACAAGCTAATCAGTAACTAGCTAGGGCATGTGTCTTGTGTACACAAAACCTCATTTTCTGATTGGCCTATATACATGACTGATAACGCCCATCATTTCGCTATCTTGCATTAAAAAAAAAGGCTTTTAATTCCTTTTTTCTATACTTCCTCAGTAGACATTACTAAGCTTTTCAGCTGCAAGAAGGCTTCATCCAGACCCCATCAGTTTACTCATAACAGGCTGCCCATGTCCTATGACCAGGTGTTGCTCAATATATTACTTACCTGTTTCCAAGGCAAAGCATAATCCTGAACTCTAATCACCTGTAAAACTGTTCAATTTTGAGACATTCTTTTGGTACTTGCAAGAAACAGATCTACTAATTTAGTAGAAATTTCCTTGAAATTCAAGCTCTTCAGTTAAATGAGGTCAGATTCAGAAGTAATAAGGAATCTCTTCAGGCTTACTGCTCATCTGAGTTCAAGTCAGCTGGTACATTCCTCTGCAAATAATGATGTGACATCTTAGAACATTTGGATTTAGAATGTGCCCATCATATCCAACTCAACCAACTACACAGAAAGACTTGTAGAGTTAGGCACAGGTAGACACTGGGCAAGTGTTACACAAAACCAAAGCTCCTACTGGAATTAAGGGATGGTGGTGTTTGTCTGAACGTTCCACACCCACAAGAACCTGCCCTGAAGGAGAAGGTGCTGATACATGATGATTACTTGCTCTGGAAACAAAATGGAACCAGCCATCACTCATTCAAGTCCTAGAAGCAACTACATTTAGTGTAGTGCAACTGACACATTTACTTGTACATTCTACATGTGATCAAGTTATACAGATCCCATTATACAGACAGCAGTACTTTGAAAGGAAGGATGGGATTTTTATCTAGGCTCTCCAGAAAGCATGTAAGGGGTGCTTTCACATGGGGAAAAAAGCATGGCTGACTTTTCCACTAGAGGACATTCTTTAGGCTTGTCTTGAAATGGCAGTAGAGAGTAAAATAAAAGCCCCTTGGGAAAAAAAAAAGACAAGACTTGTGCAAAATCATCCCCAAGAATCCTAAGTCAGTGTTTGGCCCACATTTGCTAGTACCTAGACTTCTCAGTAAAAAACAGCACTAAGCTAAATTTTATTAAGCAATACCTGTACACTTTACTGATGAGTTGATTATACTGATCAAAGACCATTGTATCAACTTTAATTTGTTCACTACAGTGTGTAAAACTTGCTAAAACAAAAGGATCAAACAGTGGCTTTGACAACTTAGCCACAACTTGGTGTTTGCATTCTCACGCACAGGGAGATGGTAGTAGTTTCTCGTTCCCGTTTAAAAAAGCAGCAAGCTGCAGGTGTAAAATTTTTAAAAATAAGTTCATTTTAACCTTTGATGCCTGATCAACATTAGCAGACATTTTTCCACCTGTACCCCTGCTGCAGTCTTGTCAGGACTCACAGTTTTTTACTTTTGGCTTTCCAGTGTGTTTGGTTACACCTGCAGTGTCCTCCCATGTAAGGGGGTAACAGTGCCATACCCCATTTTCTATTCCTGTCCATGTTTCACTGCATTTGATTTTGCAGCAGCCTTTCTTACTTCAAAGTCTGCCAGGGAAGTAAGAGTTAATCAGCATGTAAAACTTCTAATCTGTGACTGTGCTGCCACTGACACAAACAGCACAAGCACAGGGTAGGAAGTTTTGCACCCTTTTGTTTAAAACTTAACTCGCTTTGCATGCACATCTGCAGCTCCCTCCGAAAGTCATTGTGCCAAAAAGTCTTTGGAGAAGTGTCTCAAGGTTGGCTAAACTCTTCTACGTTGGCTTTTCCTGAGGAAAAATTTTATTTTCACTGAAGAAAATAAAAATTAATCACAAAAAAAAGTATTTACCAGGAAATTAAATGTGTGGAAATGCCACCAACATATAAAGCTTTCTGGAGACAGCTGTCAATCAAAGCAGTATTAGGCCATCTCAAATTCTCATCTTTTCCATTTCAGTCTGGTGTTGGACGGAACCTGCCCCAACTCCACACATGGTACAATGGCACAAACAGAACCCAGAACTCTCTGGACAATTCCTGCTTAGAAGATACAGTCAACAGAAGAAAGATTGGACATACAACCGTGTTCTATTCAGTCTTTCAATCTCAGGTAAGACGGTACCAAGACACATTGACCAAATGAGCTGGAACAATCTCTTATTATTTTATGTTCCTACCTTGTCTCAGCACATTTTATGCCTGCCTCTTCAGGCATCTTCTCATCCCACTTCGTACTTCCTTATATACAACAACATTTTATAGGAATTGGACCTTGTTTCTTCTGCAGTAAACAAGTTCCTAATCTGCCTAATCCTTAACAATATATTATTTAGCAAAGCCCATTACCCCTTGTCCTGTCACTACAGGACCTTATAAAAAGTCCCCCCCAGGTTCCTTGTAGCCCCCTTCAGGTACTGGAAGGCTGCAATAAGGTCTCCTCAGAGCCTTCTCTTTTCCAGGCTGAACAAGCTCCATTCTCAGTCTTTCATCATAGCAGAGGTGCTCCAGTCCTCTGACGTCTTTGTGGCCTTCAGCATGGCTTTCTTAGCGCTCTGCCCCAGCGAGTCCAGCAGCCAAGGAGATCAGCCCGCAGCCTCTTTTGCACCCAAATCTCAATGTTTTGCACCCAAATCTCACTGTTGATCCATTGAGGAGGAAGAATTATCACCAGAAAGTTTACCAGGCCCAGCGACAGCGTTCCCCTTTAAAGAGCTAACTTCCTTTTAGAATTAGCTGGGGTCAAAAACAAACCAACCAACTAACTAAAATCCCCTAAAACCCACAAACAAACTAACAAAGCAAGCCCAATAACAAACAGCCAAACCCAACCCTGAACAGGGGTCATTGAGCCCAGAAGGTGAAAC